GACAAAATTGAAGACAGAGGGGCAAAATTTTTAATGTTAAAAATATAAACTTGCTAATGGATTCAGAATATTTTTATGAACTATGAAATTTGCAGGTGTGCATTCAATTTCTGGCACTGACACAAAACAATTCTCGTTAATGTTTGAGATACAGATTGCACTGTAAAACAAAAAAATTCATATTAAAACAATGTTTCTCCGACAGGGTTCGTAGCCAACTATTTATATAAAATTCAATGAATTTCCCTGACCATCTTTAAAAACGATTTTTACAAAATTTTTAAAATTACTATCTACTGTAATGGAAATGCTATGATTATACATGCATTGAATGACAAATCTTATAAAACTTAGCTTTTAGTTAAGTTGGATATTAGTATGGATCTTATTATACCTGTTAGTAAGGATCTTATTATTAAGGATGACTAAGAATGAACACTAAGAAAAACATAAGTTTCAGAAAAAATAAACGGGTAGCACCAAAAAAAAGGAAAGTTTACAGGAAAGTGAAAAACATTTCTCCTGTAAAAAATTTTATTTTTATTTTATCTAAAAATTGTTTTTTTATCAAAAAAAATCTTTATTTTATCTAAAAAAAATCTTTATTTTATCTTATAATTTTATCTTTTCCTAAAAAAAATTATTCTTTTCAAATAACCTCACTTTTAAAAAAAGTGTGACTCTTCACGTTTTTAAAATACAGCGTTCCATTGTGAAACGAGTAACTTCTTAGCTAGAATTACTGACTTTTCCATGACTATCTAAAAATAAATAAAAATTCTCTGACTTTTCCAGGTTTTCCACGACTTTGGCCATTATTAACATATTTACCATATTTTCCAGGTACAGTACAGACCTTGTCCAATGTTTGTAAATAATTTTTTTTTACATATTTTAGTTCTGAATTTTAATAACACAATTTTTATAAACAATAACATCTATATTGTTTATTGCATTACCTTCGTCTATTAGATAAATTTAAATAAAAGTTTATATAATGAATAATAATGAACCACCAGCAACTGTTAAAACTTTAAACTGATATGAATACTCTGTTTTTTTTTTCAACAGTTGATTTCAAATGGATTTCAAAGTTGGTGACACTAACTATAAAATCCAACAAAAAAATTTTGTTCATAAACTTAAATGTTCTCAAAACGACTAAAAAACCTGGCCAGTTTTTTTGTAACTAAATATAATTTTGATGGTCAGTATTCGAGAGTGATCGCTTCCGCTTCCCGACCAAACCAAGTGTAAGCTTTGATATGTTGATTATTATACAATAAAATGTTAATTAACACTCTGACTTTTTGACCGTAAAATATGAAAAAGTCTTTAAAATTGTAAAAGTTAAAGCTATGAATAAAGAATTTCAATCATCAGACATAAAGACTTTTATATAAAACTTACCATTTAATAAATTTTGTTCATTCAACTTCTCAGAGCAAACATTGAACTTCTGTAAAGATTTTGGAGTTACAGGTAAATCCCAAAGTTTAATAATCTTTTTTGTTTTATTATAAGAAATTGAGGATAAATCATTTACACCAAGATATACATAATTTTTTGTCTCTTTAATCTTTATTTTGGCTGGTCATTTTTGCTGTTTTTCTTTTTTGTCTCCAGAGCATAAGTTTAGCCTTCTGCTAAATTCAATTTTTGTATTGCAATAAAAATCTATAAATCATATGATTAATAATTAGTTATAACTAAAGTTAATGTATAAGCTTATAGTTGTTAACTGTTGTACGCAAACTAAATATGAAAAATATTCAGAGATATTAAGTTAAAAAATAATCAAACCAAGAATAATGTCCCTCTGCCTCAGTAAGATGGAATATATAAGGGATTGTTTTATTTAAATCATGATTTAAATCAGACAAATAAAATTAATGATTTAAATTGAGTTTTTTTATTTTAATTATTTTTTATGACTATTTATTGATTTAATCTCATAATTCAATCAATTATTATAGACTAGTCATTGGTCTTAAAATAAAATGTCTGGCAATATTAGAAAGCTCTACATAAGTAGAATATAAAGTCTAGTAACACTTTGTACACTGTTTTAATATGTTAGTAGATTTCATAATCAAACACAGAAAAAATCAAACAAAAGAGACATACTTAAAATGTAAAATATCAGCTTCTAACAACTTCAATGCCACATTTATATCCTTGAGGTCGCGATCGCGTCACAAAACGAGATACCATCTTTGTCGGGGGAAAACATTGAACAAAATGCGCTACCAGCCCGCTTTGTTTAATCCCTTAACCCGGCTTTAAAATTAAAACAATGAACAAAACGTGATAATCACGCGTTTTGTTCAATGTTTTCCCCTTACAAAGATGGTTACTCGTTTGGTTTTTGTTTTTTGTTTTTTTTTAATGTTGATTTTAGGTGCCCCAAAAAGTCCTTACGGTCTTATCACAGAGCACCGCGGAAGAGCATTTAACAGGAAGTTCACGCCTCCCTCCCAACCGATGTCGCAAAACTTGCTCAGAGGTGGGGTTTGAACCACGGGTCTTACGTTTCTGAGGCAAGTGTGCTACCACTGCGCCACGACTGCTTTTAAGTTTTGTGACGCGATTGCGATCTCAAGGATTATTGATACCTTTAATAACATATCTTATAATAGCTATATAATCTAAACTATAATGAATAAATTATGAAGAAAAAAACTTATACTGTATGACATTTCAAATGTTTGATTTATTCAATAAAGAAGACACTTAAAATGTCTTCTTTATTAAATAAATCGAACATTTGAAATGTTTCATTTATTTAATAACGATTATTAAATAAATCAAACATTTGTAATGCCAATACAGCAATAAAAGTAAAAAAGTAACTTTAAAATCTTACACAAAAATAATTAGATTATTGCCTTTATTGTTACATTAATAATTTAGATTGTAATAAAAAATGTTTTAAGCATATTATTTAAATGTTAACAAATATTTCATTATTTAAAAAAACAAAACATTAAGTCACGAGAATCTCTTGAAATTTATATCTTATAAGGAACCTTTTAAGATTCTTAGAAGATTAATAAATACAGCTTAATATAAATAAAATTAATAAATATAGCTTAATATAAATAAGATTAATAAATATGGATTCTTTTTTTTATTTTTATAATTTAAAAAATGGAAAGATAATATCAAAAGATAATATCAAAATTCTCTCAAACGATACCATTTTTAAAAATGTTTTGCAACAATTTTAAAAGTATATACTAATCCGCAACTACATTCGGCTACGGTATAAATAGAAATGTAAGAACAGATTTTTATAGCAAAATATTAAGCCTAAACTACAATGGCCTAATGTTGGCCTAACGTAGTACGATAATTGCAAAAAGTTGATTTGTTAAACTGCATTATTATGCCGAAAAAAGCATTGGCTAAATATTGGCCCAATATAGTACGATATTCGCAAAAAACCGATTTGCAGAATTAAAAATAACACGCCGAAAAAAAAACATTGGCTAAATGCTGGCCCAATATATTACGATATTTGCAAAAAACCGATTTGCAGAATTGAAAATAATACGCCGAAAAAATACATTGGCTAAATGTTGGCCCAACGGAATAAACTTGCCAATATTAAAACTTCGTTAGGCCAATGTATGCTTGCTGTCTGGGAAAGTCATTAAACACATGTTATTAAAAAAATTGATGATCATGTATTTTTCTGAAGTTTGAGTTTAATAAGTTTATTTTAATTGACAATTACAGTTTTGTATTTTTTAGGAATATATCTAAAAAACTAATATATATGTAAATAAATGCCGAATTCTCATGTTTTAGTATGTAATTTAGAAAAAAAAGTTAATTTTAAATTGAATTAAATTCAAGTATTTCGTTGTATTTCGTGAAAAGCAATATTAAAGGTATCATCATTTGAAAATGCGGCGATTTCTTTTATCACCAAACCGAATAGCATTACTTAATCAACAGTATTTTTAACTAATAGTATTATTAATAGTTAAGTATAAATAAGGTCTTTTAAGGTGTGGTTAAAAACCAAATTAAACTCATTCAAGGACTTTATGGAAACCAATAACACAAAAAATGTTTATCTCTGTTTATCATTTAATTTGAGTTTCTTATTTAATTTGAGTATGATAAGTCTAAAGTTGGCATTGCTTTTTTAATTGCATCAACCGTTTGATCATAAAACCAAAAATTAACATATAATTAATATTATTCATATTGCATGAGACACAACCTTAGTCAATATATAACATTTATTAGTTCAAAATGTGTTATATTACAAAATGTCATGTTACATCACTTTACATTCATATTTTACATAATGATACATTATGTTCTAATGTAATGCTCTTTAAAAACCTCAAAAAACACTAGAAGAGAACAGTAGAATATTTTTGTTTTTTTTATATGAACTTTGTTGTCATGGCATATCAAACACCAGTACATGAGTACTTTGTGAGAAACTACTTGTTGACCAAGAAGAAACACGACGTACATCCACTTGTAACTGTCATGCATCCTACATACATCCACTTGTAACTGTCATACATCCTACTTATTTCTGTCATAGTTGATTTTCACAACAACTTCATGTTATTGTAGTCTTCCTTTAGACGAATGGAATAAGCTTATATATATACATGTGTATATATATATATATATATATATATATATATATATATATATATATATATATATATATATATATATATATATATATATATATATATATATATATATATATATATATATATATATATGTATGTATATATATATATATATATACATATATATATATATATATATATATATATATATATATATATATATATATATATATATATATATATATATATATATATATATATATATATATATATATATATATATATATGTATATATATGTATATATACAGGCCCGCCCAGAGCTTTTGTGATGCCCGGGTCCAAAAGTTTAATGGATGCACTATCATACTTCAGGTCTTAAAATAGCAAATAAATTAATATAGTTTCTTCTTAGCAGCAAAATTTGAAATAACTTCTTCATAATTAACGTTAATGGCTAAATCTGATTTGATTGAAAGGATCATCAAGTAGCACAATCGCTCCTGGCCCATTGTGGAACGAAGATAACCTTTGATGATAGCTAACTTGCTGAAAGATCTTTCTCCTTCAGATGTTGAAACGGGCAATGTTAGAAAGATTCTAAGAGAAACACACACTTGCGGAAATATTGAATGCAGCCCCTTTGCATAAACTTCATTTAGAAGTTCGACAGGCTTTTCGCTGGCTAGAATATTTCTTCTTACGGAAAAAAAATGCCGAACTTCATCAAAAAATTCGTTTTTACATAAGTCTTCTGGGTAAAGTTTAGCCAGATTCTCAGCTTTTAAACCTAGTTCTTGGTCTGTTTGAGATTTCTGTAAAGACCAAAGGAAAGAAAACTTGCTACATTCCTCTTCTATTACTTTAAATCTTGATCTCATTTGACTAGTCAGATTGTCGAGTGCAATATTGAAGACATTACACTCAAATTTTTTTGTTGCTTCTTCGTGGTTGTAACCAGCAGTTTCATCTAAGACGATCTTTTTTCGCGTTCTCTTCACAGTAAACATTATTTTATCAAATTTCAAGTTCTTTGCAACTTCTGTTGCCTCTATCAAAATCAGGTCCCAAGACAGACGGATTCGATCCAGATCCATCAAAAAGCCATTTAGAATCTTTACTTCATCATCGAGAGTGAGTTGAGTGGATTGAAGCAGAAGACTCACGTTATTAACTGCCATCAAACATTTAAACCAAAAAGTAGTGAAAACAACAAATTCAAAAGAACTCATCCATTTAATGAGATAATGCACTTCATTACTACTTTCGCCTGAAAGGTCTAACTCTTTTGGACGATGTAATGATTTCAAGATCTCTCTTGGCTTTTTTGCTAGTGGCTTAACTGATTCAATCCTTGAACTCCATCGTGTAACAGAAAGTTTATGTAATGATTGGCCTGTCTCCTCCTGAAGAACTTTCCAACGAACTGGGTTGCTGCTGAACAGATTGTATAGCTTTTGAATATTTCCAAAATAGGATTTTGCAGAAGCCGATGATTCAATAGCGTGTACTGCACATAAGTTCAAACTGTGAGCAGAGCAAGGAATGAAAATTGCTTGTGGATTATTCTGTTTTATCAAAGCTTGAACTCCATTGTAAATACCTGCCATATTAGCGCCGTTGTCGTAGCCTTGACCACGACAATTTTTTATGTCGAGCTCATTCTCTTCCAACACATTCAATATCAACTTTGTTATATCAGATCCCTTCTTCTTTTCAAGTTCTTCTAGCTTAAGGAATCTTTCTTTGACCTCCCACAGCTGATTATCATTGAAATGCAAAAAACGAAAAACAAAAGTTATTTGCTCGCGTGGGACGAATCGGGAGTGCTGTCCGTAATGATGGTGAAATATATTGATTTTTTGATTTCTCGAATAACTTCTCGAACCACTAATTTGCCGCATTCCTTGATAAATTCATTTTGTGATTTCCAAGATAAATAATGAGCTTGCATGCGTTTTTCTTCTTCTTGGTGCTTAGCAATAAGATGCATATGATCTTGTAATGTTTTGTTGTGGCGAGCAATTAATTCGAGCGCTCCAAGGAAGTTTCCATTCCCATTTTTGAACAACTTTTGATTGGATCCTAATTACAAACAAAAAGTAATCAAAATAGTAATCCATATTTATATCCAATTAAAACTTGTAATTTTGATTTTTAATTTACAAATGAAATAATGCAAAATATAATTTAAAATTTAAAAACAATATTCTTACCCCTAAAAGCTAAGTTTCTTGAAGCTAGAAAATTTGTGACGTCAAGAATGCATTGTAAAATTACTTTCCATCGTTTTGTTTCATCTCCAATTTGTTTTTCTAACTGATGCTCAATGGACTTTTGACTTTTCAAGGGAATCGTAGCTGTTTTCCATTGGAGATAACAGTTACGGTGAAAATCGCTTTGTTGATGACTTTTAACGCGATCTGAAAGTTTTCTCCAATTTCCATGTATATCTCCATTCCAAGACAACAAACTGGATTGAACACCGGGTCTGGTTAAGTTAGGCGATCCAAAAAGGGAGCAAGGGAAACAAAAGAGTGATGCTACAGCCTTACTCCAAATGAGCCAATCTCTTTTAACTTTTTCTCCGTTTCTTTGTTCCTCTAAAAAGATATAAGTAGAGAATTTGCGTTCTTTTTGATCTCTTGGAAAATTGCTAGGATTTGAAGAAGGCCCCATCAGAATTATATTCGTTCGATCAGTGTCTGATATTGATTTCCATAGTGCAGGATCGTTAGAGATTGGTATAGAAAGATCACTTTTATAAATTTGTTGGTCATTGTGACAATTAAGTACAAAATCCAACTGATCCTTTTTTAAATGTGATGATGTTTTTTGGGAGTCATCAATGTCATCGGCAAGAAAAAGTTTGTCGGAATTATGGTCTGGCAACTCATTAGAGTCATTGATACCGATCTCAATATCATTGAACTATAAAGAAGTATTAAACAGAATTATTCTAATTATTTTTTCATGAACGTCACAAGATGAAAAAATAGTTTAACTACCTGCTTGCATTTATCTTCGATTTTTGCCCAACGAACGCAATCTAAAAGCGTTCGTTTGTTTTTGCTTTCGTTTTTTTTCCGAATCATCACTCTTTTTCTCCCAGCAGCTCCAGACAGCTGTTTCAATCGTGGAGGTCTTTGATTATTCATGCTAAAACTTATGACGAGATAAAGAATTTTAACTTTTTAAATTTTAAAAATTAAAAACTTTATATTACTTTGGTGTTATTAATTGCAGAGAAAAAGTCAGTACTTACAATTAAAATATCCACTGAAGATAAGTTTCTTGTCAAGATATAGTCGAAACAAAATGCAGGCGAGTCAAAAACATACATATGCACAAAAGTACCCACAGGGACGCAAGGTTTAAGCAAAAATAAGTTAAACTATCAGAGGTCAGGCTTTTACAAACGTTATATAAGAAAAAAAATTTTTTAACGCTTTTTCTTTTATCATGCGAACAAAAGGTCCAGGAAAACTCGTGCGTTCCCATGGATAATGAAAACCTTGTAAAGTAATAATTATCCTATTTTAAATGCAAACAAAGTTTAAAAGGAGAAAGAAATTAATACACAAAAATTGCTTAATCTTTAAATACGTTATCAGCTAAATTTTTTATCATTTCAATAATTTTTTTTTAAGGCATGTGATGCCCCATAGACTTTGATGCCCGGGGCAAACTACTTCAATTGCCCCCCCCCCCCTCTTAGCGGCCCCATATATATGTATGTATATATATATATATATATATATATATATATATATATATATATATATATATATATATATATATATATATATATATATATATATATATATATATATATACATATATATATATATATATATATATATATATATATATATATATATATATATATATATATATATATATATATATATATATATATATATATATATATATATATATATATATATATATATATATATATATAAAACCAAGCAAAAATGGGCGAAATATCCATTTGAAACCATCATTCAAAAATAACAAATAAAGATATTGCTGGAGAAACAAAGAACATTTTTCTTGAGATAAAATAAAAATATTAACATTTAAAAGATATTATATTCCACTTGTATTAAAAAAACTTATAAAAATAATTTAAATTGAAACATTGTTTCTTTATCATATAGCTTTTAGTAAAGGTAGGAAGATGATCAAACTTAGTTTTAGCTTTTTGAATACAATCCACATTCAGAACCTTTCTTAAAATCTGCTATATAAGAACTTTCGAAAATCAGTCATAAGAGAAGGAAATGGAACTAAAAATGGAACAAATTTATTTATGGGATACACATATTACACATTTATTTGTTATGCAGTATTTATTTATTTGAAAACTTAAAAATGTGACAAAGCAGATAGCAGATGGAACTTTTAGTTTTTTTTCTTAACTTATCTAAGATAAAGTGTAAGCAAATAAAACAGAACTTAATATCATTATCTAATTTATTCTACTTCTACTCTTAGTCGTATTTAAACTACATGTTTTAAAATAATATAGCAATGCGTAAAAATAACATCTTTCTATCCAGACCTTACGCTACAGTGATCCAGAAAATGATTTAAACTTTATAACTGAGTAATGTTATATATATAAGGTAGTTATTAACTAATTATAGAAAACCTCGATAAAAAATCATTTATTTGCTTTAAGTGAAGAAACTTGGAAATATGGAAACTTCTTTAGCTATTTTAATTTTTTTTCGTAAATATTTTTTTCATATATATATTTTTTCATCTATATAACTTTCATATATATATTCATTTTTATATATATATATATATTGTTTTTTCCCATATATAAAAAAAAAAGGTCAAAAAGTCAAAATTACCATGCAGTAAAATGAAAATATGTATGTCAATAGGTAAAACATCTGACTTTCGTTTAGAAAACCTTCGCCAGTCGCTTCGCGCAAATAGTTCCGTATCACAACTTTCTTCGATCCACGATATATTTCCTTACCGAGAAAGACATCAAACAGCATCGAACGTTCTCCCTCTGGATGTTCGAGGGTTTTGCGGTTAAAAGCGAATTTTGGGGGCAAAGTATTACTCTCGTAATGCATGATTGGGATGGCGAAGATTTTAAGTGGGAGTGAAAAAAGAGATAAGAAACCCAGAGATAAGAGACGCCTGGATCGAGGAAATAAGATCATATTTCTGTACATCTTCTTTAGCACCGTTTTTGCATGTATGCAACCAAGCAAAAAAAAATTATAGATAACTAACAATGTTTTACTTGTGGCTAAAATTTTTAATATAAACAATTTAAAATCACAATGTTTTCCTTGTGGCTGAAATTTTTAATATAAACAATTTTTTTTTTTTATCACCTTCTAACTTTCTGAAACTTTATTAACCTTCTTACTTTATGAACTTCTAACTTTATGAAATTTATATTTAGAAAATAACCTTATTATTGCTTGATTTTTTATTACCCATATATCACGAAATTTTCCCATTAAGAAGTGGAAATTAATTCCTTAATTCCTTAATTGCAAGTTACCATCAGCTGGCTACAGGGAATTATTATAATCCTAATTAACGTTAGCTTTTTCCGCGAATTTAAATGAATCTGGTATTGTGGTTTATCCTCCTCCGGCTAATTGCCGTGTCACCGTGGCCCGCAAAGTCAAGTTCAGATCCTCAAGGAGCGTCATAACCTGCTCTACAGACCGAGGGTAACGTGATTTGGTACGAATGAAGATATGTTAGAGTGAAAGGAAGCAGTTGTCGAGTTAGAAAGATAGCATAGAGAAAGCGCACATAAATGCAAAACGGACTGTTAGTTAGGTTAACCTAAGTAAAGAACGCCGGCAAAATTGTGATTAGAGTTCATATTACATGAACTTTTTCCTCAACTGTCTTTGTCGTCTCCACTGTCTTTGTTGTTAAATGGATTTTAAATTATCATGTAGGGGGAAAAACTTGGCGAAAAATTTCTTTCCAAAAGCGGAAATTTTTGCTTGTGGTGTTATATATTTGACGGCTTAAACTTTTTTTTTAAGCATATTTTTGATCAAGGAAAAAATTTTAATAGTTTCTATATTCATTCCTTCATTCTTTTTATTCTTATTCAATAAATTAAGAACTCTTTTTATTATAACTTTATTATAATTATTATATAATTGTTTTAACAAAACGAAATTTACACTTTTTTTTATTTTTGTCATTAAGATCAAATCTTTCTTTGAGCTTTCCACTGTGTCAATAACTACTGTCTTCTTATAAAACTATCCCTTTTTTCATGAGAATAATAAACTTTGCTTTCTGCTTATGTTACCTGTTTAACTTGTTTATTATTCGACTGCCCATGACAAGGTTAATTCGGAACATCTGATAATGGTCTGTCTAACAAGCTCAGAAAAAGCAATTTCAAATTTCTCACTTGATGGATAATTTAGAAGGTTGCTAGAAATTAATTTGTTTTTATTATTAAAAATTTAATAATCAAATTTTAATAAAATTTTGATAATAATATGGACTTTGAATATCTTGAAAATATTGTTGCTGGTATACTCGAGAGTTACATGTAATTCAAACTTAGAAGAAACAAGAAAACTTTTGAAAAAACAAG